CAATTACTCCTGAGGTTGGATGTGAGTGTGGGTGTCAGAGACAGAAAAAAAGGGGGGAAGGGAGGGGGAGCGAGACACACACACACACACACACACACACACACACACACACACACACGCAGAGGCAGGGACCGAGCCGAGACCCCAGGAGACGGGGAAGGAGACGGGCCGAGTGAGAGACAGCCATGAAAGGGAAGGGAAGGGACAGGGACGGCCGCTGAGGAAGGGCATGCGGGGAGGGGCGACAGGACACAGGGACAGAGACAGAGAGAGGGACAGGGGCTGGGCTGGGAGGAGCCTGGGAGGGCGGGGCCGGAGGGAAGGGAAGGGAGGGGCAGAGGTGCAGGGGGGCCGGAGGGGCTGAGTCTGGTGCCCCCCACCCCGACTGTGTGTCTGCGTGTGGACATGTGGGCGCTTCTCACACACACGCTTCACACACACACATGTATGCATCGCACAGTGCCCGGCACACGTGTCTCACATACACACCTCGCACACATGCCTACACACACACACGCCTCACACATGTGCCCTGCATACATGTCTCACACATAAACCTGCACACGAGCCTCACACACAACCTCACACACATGCCCCACACACGTGTCTTGCGCACATGCCCCACACACGTGCCCCACACAAGTACTTCATACACACGTCTCATACACACGTCTCACACACATGCCTCACACACAGGCAGTCCTTGCTTCTCCAGCCCTTCCCGCATCCTCTGGCCCCCTGTGAACAGGAGGAGGGGCGTGCGTGTGTGTGTGTGTGTGTGTGTGTGTGTGTGTGTGTGTGTGTTGGGGGCGGGGGAGCAAGATGGACATTCAGGCGGGGACCACACAGCCGGGCTTTCTGATGTCGGGGACACAGTTATCCCTCCCACACGCCCTGCCACCCTCTCCCCCTCACTCAGGGACACCGCAGGGGACTAGTTCTTACTCCCCAAGCACAGTGACAGGGGAGGTGGGGGTCCCCGTCTCTTTCCTGCTGCGCACAGGGCTCCACTCTTCCATCCCCGTGTCCCTTTGTCCCCCTTCCCAGCAGCACCCGCCCTCCCGCGTCTGCTCTGGATGCTCCCGAGGACCCCCCCCACCCAGGAGTCTCCCTGCCAGGCCGCTCCCCTCCAGGGGTCTCTGACCTCCCGTCCACATGCGTCCCAAGTGTCCCAGGAAGAGGAGGGGGAGGGCAAGCGGCTGGGGGGGGGGGCGCTCAGCAGCTGTCCTGTGGGGAGGGGCTCCCCTCTCTCCCTTTCCTTCAAGAGCTTTTTCCCTTCTCTCTTCCTCAGCCCCCTTCCTGCCCACCAGGTCCCCGTGTTGGTGGTCCCTGGAGACAGAAAGCCAGACGCTGATAGCACACGCCAGGCGTGGAAGACCGGATACTAGCAGCAGTGTCGAACCCCGAGCCCCAAGCGGGAGTCGGGAGAAAGGAGGGGCCGTGGCCAGCCCAGCCCCTACGCAGGAGGAAGGGGAAGGAAGCAGAGTAGAGACCCCCAGGGCCACCCGAGTCAGCCCGGCGTGCCTCAGAGCATGACCCCCGGGATCAGCATATGGCACTTGGGTCTGCCTTGGCCGTCTGTGTGACTGTTGGGGGGCCCAGTGCCCACAGTCCCTGAGGCCGCGGGACACGTGGGTCCTGGTTCTCTCCACACCAGGCCCCCGGCTGTGCTGTGCGATAGGGAAAGCAGCCTGGAGAGACTGAGCCCGTGTGCAGGGGAAGACTTAACGGGTTGCCGCCCGCCGCCTCCCAACACCCCGACGCCGTAGCAAACAGGAGCATCAGTGCACGCGCGTCCCCAACTCCATCTACACCTCGGCCCCTGCCACTGATGACTACCGCTCTCTTCTGAAAGCCCAGCTCCAGGCCTGCGGGAGAACATACTGGCACCCCCTAAAGCCCCCCACCCCCGCATTGCCTCCTGCTGAGGGACGGCTGCCCGCTGCCTGCAACCCCGGCCTCGGCCTCGCTGCAGGCCAGCGTTGGAAGCTCCCTCCAGCTCAGTTCCTGCTTCTGCGCACCCCGACTCGTGTGTGCAGAAAGGGAAGGGAAGGGGTGCAGGAATAAACGGGCGGCTCTGGGCTCTGCATCTGTGTGCTCACGTTTCAATTCATTCCCCAAACATGATGGAGCAGAACGGATGCCAGGACCTGGAACCCACCTGGCCGACTAGAGGAGCCCCCCGCAACGTCCGTTGGAGCCCCGATTCCAGTTACCCTAAGCCTGCTCTGTGACTCCAGGCCTGATCCCACAGAGGATCAGAGGACAGGAGGGGGACATGGAGGGACATGCCCCCACCCGACTGGGAAGGACTCCGGTGCCCCGAGGGTGCAGCTGTGCCCCAATAGTGAAAGCCAGCCAAGCCTGCCGCCTCCCCCTTCCCACCTGTCCCAGCCGGATCCTGCTCTTTGGCTTCTCCTGACCCCTCAGGAGCACCCTACCCCCTCGCACACGGCCCCCCAGACTCCTGGGACCTCCCAGGCGGCTCATCACCCCCTCTCTCGCTGCTCTCAGGCCTCCCAGGCTCAAACTGGTGGGTTTGTGCCCATCTTCCCACCCACCTGAGGGGCTTCCCTCAGTACCCCTGGACCAGCCCAGCACACGGGACACCGGCTGCAGGAATAAACGGGCGGCTCTGGGCTCTGCATCTGTGTGCTCACGTTTCAATTCATTCCCCAAACACAACTGAGCAGAAAGGATGCCGGGACCTGGAGCCCACCTGGACGACTAGAGGCGCTCCCCGCAACATCCATGGGAGCCCCGATTCCATTTACCTGGTGCCCAGCCGGATAGCAGCCCCGAGCAGCTCCGCTGCTTCATCCACTGTCTCAGTTCTAGCAAAGCACCAGCAAGTAGCCCCAGTACTGTCTAATATTGACTATCGCCCTTCATTGTTGCACATTTTTTGGGAGGGAGGTTTGATTTTTGGCCACACTGGGCAGTGCTCAGGGGTTACTCCCAGCTCAGTGCTCAGGGGTCACTCACAGGGGTCCCGGCACGCAGCCTGTTGAGCTCTCCAGATCCCACAGTTATATTTTTCACAAGGGCCGCACCCAGCAGGCCTGGAGTCCTGGGGGTCACTCAAGGTGAGGCTTGGGGATGCCAGCCTGAGGGTGATTAGGAACTACCAGGGCCCCAGGGAATCCTGAGCCCTGCGTGAGGTGAATATGAGGAAATGGTGAATAGAGCCTGGGGCGAGAGGGCTCAGGCAAGCTGCCCCCACAAGCCAGCGTGCCCCACGTATTGGCTAGATGAGGATAGACGAGCTGCCATCCTGTTCTGCCTGAGTTTCCCCTCCCTGCCGTGGCTGACCCATATCCTCTTCCCAGAGTGCCCAGGAGGGCCAGCCGCGTACCTGGCAGGGGATGTCAGTGTCCTCAGGAGGACGCAGCAGCAGCTGCCCGGCGTGCCTGGAAAAGCTAGCTCACTTTTGGGCCACACTTAGGGAGCCCAAAGGGCTAAGCATGGACACCAAACCCAGTATGGTCCCTTTAGCTTCGAGACCCTGGATCCCTGAGTCATGTGCACGTGTGCGTGCGCACACGCGCGCGCGCGCACACACACACACACACACACACACACCTTGTGCACTACTTAACCTCCGGCAGTCTAAACACAAAACTAAAACCAACAACCTGACCACGACCTTCTCCAGCTCTGAAACCAATATCCTTCAAACGCCTGTTGACTTCAACCCGACGCCCAGGCACAGCCGAAAGCCAGCATAAGTTCCCGCGACGGTGGGATTTTGCAGCCGGGAAGCTCCCTGAGGCTCCCTCCCACAAGCAGAGCAGCCCCCTCCTCAGGGCTCTGAGACCCCCTCCCACTGGAGAAAGCTGCCTGCACCTCCGACTCAGTGCCTTCTCTGTGCAAGCGTCCCACAGCTAGAGTACATACAGGGGACCGTAGGGGGTCTTCTCCGGGGAGAAAGCCCATGGCCACGGCTGTCCGAGCCAAAATCTATGGGCCAAAAGTGAACTGAAGTGTGTGGTTTGGACCCCAGGGGGGTTTTGAAACTTTCCCCTTAGTGCTCACATGTAGAACTAAGCCACTCCACAGCAGTCTAGAGGATATTCTGGCTGTGCCTTATGATTAGAAAATCCTCAGGGCCAGAGACATGGTGCAGGGGATAAGGGACTTGCCTTACAGAACCTGGCGAGACTCAGGTTCAATACCCAGCACTGCCAGGCACTGCCAGGAGAGACTGCCAAGCAAAGGGCCAGGAGTAAGCCTTGAGCACTGGTGGGAGTGGCTCCATCACAACAAAATATTTAAGAAAAATTAAAATTAGAAAAATCCTGGGTTGTGGAGATCTTTCGAAGGGCTTTGCATGCCGGGGACCTGGGGTTCAGTCTCCAGCACTGAATGGGCCCCCGAGCAACCCAGCATTGTGTGAGCTGAAAAGTCAAAATAATAAATTTTTTTTTATTGGAAAGTCTTGAGAGCGAGGGCTGCTTCCACAGGGGCCAGTGAATGGAGCTGGTGGGGGGAGAGGCCCCTTCTCCTCACATGTCTGCATCCCCCGCCGATCCCAGCACACCACGGGCTGACCTGAACTCTAGCCCTCACCTGTTTCTTGGGGTGTGCCGGAGACCCCCCAGACAACCAAAGCTTTGAGGGAGCTCCTTGGGTCTGCGTTCATGCAGGGGCACCTCCAGGGATGGGGGAGGGGGTCAAGGCAACAGTTCCACCAACACTGTGTGGTAGGTGCAGACAGGGAAACTGAGGCTCCCCAGAGTGGCCGCTGAAGTCTTTTCTCAGCTGCCTAAGGAGACAGAGCTCTGACCGGGCTCCCTTCAGGGGGCGGGGACACCCCCAGACAGCAGCAACACCCCCAGAATGGCCCCCCCCACATCAGGTAAACCACAGAACACATGGGAAGCAAAATAAGTACCCATGTCCCAGCAACCTCAGGGAGGGCGGGAGCTAGGAGAGTGGGGTAGGAGTCCCCTTACCCCCGGGAAGAGGAGGGGAGAGTAGGGGGCCAGGGCAGCTCTTACCTCTTAGGTAGACGCAGCGAAGCTAATACATTCAGGCCACCAACCCGGTCCAGCCGAGAACCTGGAGAGAGAGAGCAGGGGTCAGTGTGTGGGAGCCTGTGTCTCCCCAGCTGCCACATTCTTCTGAGTCAGGGACTCAGGGAGTTTCGGCAGAGTTGGCAGGTGTAGACAGCATGTGCGGGGGTTAATGAACTAGCATTGCAGGCAGTGTGGACGGGAGGGGGCATGGAGGGCCGCAGGGAGCCCTTTCCACGGGCTGTCACTGCTGGCCCATTCCTGGGGTTCTCCCAGCGGGGTTCCTGACAGGTGCCATGTTCTTCGCCCTGTCTGTTAGGGGGTACCGGGCAGGCTGGGGTGAACTAATCAAGGAGGCCTTCAGGGGCTGGGAAGCAGGAGGGACTGTGGGACATGGGCATGGAAGGCACAGCCCAGGCCTAGTGGACAAGTTAACTTTTTGTCTGTTTCCAGCTCTCCTCCCTGTAGGGACTCAACAAATCAACTTTTTAGTCGGGCAGAGAGAGCCAGAGGGAGCGGCACATCTCGGCTGGCCCTGGGTCTGTGGAGACAGGCTCAAGGGAGAGAGGCTGGGCACAGCTGCTTAGGCTTGGGGGGTGGACATGCAGCCCTGTCTTTCTAGCCTGTTTTTTGTTCGTTTTGGGGACACACCTGATGATGTTCAGGGCTTACTCCTGGTTCAGGGATCATTCCTGGTGGTGTTCAGGAGACCCTATGGGGTTCCCGGAATTGAACCCGGGTCGGTTGCATGTAAGGCAAGCGCCCTCCCTGCTGTACTATGGCTCCAGCCCCGTGTCTAACTGAACGCACTTTGTGGGAAAGATGGAGACGACAGACAGGTCCAAGGAAGACCCGGGCCCCCAAAGAGAGTGTGTGCTGGGGGATCTCCCTGAGCCCGGAAAGGAGGTAGAGGGACCCACTTCACAGACAGGATCCATGAGGAGCCCCCACTTCCAGAATCAGGCCCAGCTCCTGGGGGTACATCCGGGAGTCCCGTCCTCCTAGGGGCACCTACTAGACAAGCTGCCTGAGCACAGGGTCTTGCTGTGGGTTGGCAGAGAAGGGCCCGAGCGACTGGGGAATGGCAGAGCACGTGCCTGGCACGAGCAGAGCCAAATTCCATGCTGGTGCCTCCGGGTTCCCTGGAGCACCTATGGGTGTAGCCCCTGAGCACGATGAGCTGGATGCCTCCCACTGAATGTCCTGGGCTGGGGCGCTCCAAGAGGGGAGGCTGGGGGAAGAGGCATAAGCTGTCCAGGGAGCTTGAAGACGGCTGCAGTCCTCGATGCTGCAGACCCAGGAGCACAGTGCAGGAGGCTGAGCCCCGGGGTGCCCGAGGACATGGGGGCTGGGATGGAGGGAGGATGGTGTTAGTGGTGGCAGGACCGAAGTGTAGGAGGGAAGAGAAAGAGACAGAGAGGGAGACAAGGAGTGAGAGAGGGACAGGCAGATGGCCGGACAGAGAGGAAAGGGGCGAGGTGGCACAGGAGAGGAGGGAGTCATAGGCTGACAAGCCAGAGAAAACCCAAATGGCCATGAAGAGGGGAGAGTGGTAAAAGGATTCAAGTCCGCCCAGCGCCCCCAAGCCCCCAGCTCTCCGACCTGGGGCTGGAAGGGGACCAAGCTCCCCGTCCCTGGGGGGAGGGAGGAACTGGGGTTTCTCCCCCTTAGGGGCCGCCCCCACCCCCGCCCCGCCCCGGAGCTAATCAGCGGCTGTCATCTCCACCGTGAGGTCTTGGTTAAGGAGATTTAGGGCTGGGATCAATAGGAAATTTAAAAATCGATGCAGCGCGCAGGGCAAAATCGATGGCGTTTAATCGCCTTGCCGATTCCCAGTCAAAACAATTAGCCGCGCTGAGTGTTGAACACGGTGGCGACACGGCATTAACCGTCAATATTGGTGTAAGTGATGGTGGGGCGGGCAGGGGATCCCCGGGCCCAGGCGGGGGGCCTGCCGTCAGACAGTGCCACAGGCCCGGGGGTTTCCCCAAGGCGGAACCCCACGTCGGCAGGGCTGGGGGTGCACCACTGAACCTGCCTCCCCCACCCCATCCCCTGGTTTCTACCTCCCCAACTGTACGGCTCAGGCCCGACTGCTCCCCAGTCTGCTCCTCGGCCCTGCTCCCAGACCCACACCCCGCCACGGCAGGAGGGACAGTGCTGTACCCCAGCAGCGCCTGGACTCTGCCAGGTTGACATGAGGGTGCTAGTTACAAAAACGCTGTTTCACAGAAAAACAGAGAGGAAGTGACTGGCCCCCAGTTTGGAGTTCAAAGTCTCAGCATAGGAAGTGAAGGAGCTGGGACTTGGAACCCCAATTTCTCTGGCTCCAAAGTCTGTGTGCCCCACCGATATGTCCCAAGCAAGGGAAGATTCCCACGCTTCCCCCAGACCTCTCAGCGTTCACTGCTGCCCACCGGCCTGGCCATGAGCTCCGGTGGGTCAGCTGGGGTCTGGCTTCTCTTGGGAGCCCCCCATCACCACACAGCGTGGTGCTGAGCCGAAGTCTGGAACAGAACCACGCTCCAGTCCTGAGACAGCCCCGCCCCCCAGGGGACTGAGAGCCAAACGACCAGCCCCCCACAGAGACCAAGTGTGATAAGCTTGGCAGGGCAGCTCTTGGCATATTTCAAGCAGATTCTGAGAGGTAAAGCCACTAGCCCAAGGTGACACAGCCAAGAGGGACAGTTCTTTGGGCTGGACTCTCAGGAACACAGGTCACAGAGCAAACCTCACATGTCTGTAAGCAAGAGCAAGTGGAAGAATGGGTGTGCAGGAGGTGGGGCCCGAACAGAAGACCAAGAGCCCCCCCCAGTAGGGCCAGGAGGCAGGTGAGTGGGGATGATAAGAAAGGCAGGACAATTGGGTCACAAGGGCTCTGGGCTCCAAGCTGGACGGATGGGACAGGGATAGCCACGGCGACCCTCACTTCTTCTGCACCTTCCCATGGGTTCCTTGTTGCGGGGTGTAGTGGGGGCCCCTGGCGGAGGCTTTTCCCGGCCACCTGCTCCCTAGCTGGGAAGAGCAGGGCGGGGTATAGGAGGGGAGGAGGCCGCGAGATGAGTCAGGCATTGATCTGACAAGGTCCTAATCAAATGCTCAATATCGCTGACCTGACCACTTAACCTATTGATAAGCTGGCAAGGATGGAGCAGTGGGAGAGAGCCAGGGAGCCGTGGGGGGGGGGGGGGTTCCCCGGGCCTGGACAGGGGCGGTCTCCTCCTTGAGGCCCCCACCTCCACACTGACAGGTGACACATTTTCTGTTCAGAGGCTGCTCCCTGAGTCGCTGCCTCCCGTTGGCCCCTCAGCCATCCCGAGGGCAACCAGGGGTCCCGCCAGCTCCCAGGGCCCTGGGTTAGCTCTTCAGGGCCTCAGCCTCTTCATCACCTGTAACTGGATGTTTAGAGAGGGGAACCCGTGCGAAGCTCCCCGCTTTCCTCTGGGGACTGGTCCTGTAAAGTGACAGCCGCCAGCTCAGGAAGACTCTGGGGCTGTGGGAAGCACTCCCCAGAATACACCACTGGTTCAGGAGCAGACTCAACCGTGGACACATCACGGCCTATGTCTGGACCCCTTCCCACTTGGGGGAGCCCGGGGACCCTGCATGCAGAACCTGCACCCCAGCCCTGAGTCCCAGCCCTGGGTTCCTAGGTCCACGAGTCTCTCCTCCTTGGGTCCCCAGAGAAAAGCATGTAGGGCCCAGCCCAGCGTGGCCCCAGGTACCTGAATGTCCACCTTTTGGGGGCTGAACCCACAGGGGCAGAAAATGCTCTAGAAGGACAGGATTAAATTTTTGTTGTTGTTGTTTCTGGGCCAAATAGAGAATACAAAGCTCAGGGCACTTGCTGTGCACGCAGCAACCCAGATCTGACCCCAAAACCCCTGAGCCCCACCAGGACAGATCCCTGAGCACAGAGCCAGGAGGAAGCCCTGAGCACCACCAGGTGTAGCCCTCTGGAACCAAAACTCCCCCATAAAAGGTTTTTTCCCCCTTTATTTTTGGCATTTAATTAAACAATCACGGCGGGGTTTCCTCCTCAGATCTCAAAATCTCTGAATCTTTCCTTTTCTCACTTGTAAGTTGTGGGGCAAAGGCCTTGCTAGGCCATGGGGTGCGGGTCCCTCCCCTGCCAGGCTTCTCTGTCCCCTTGTGCCCAGCCAGTGTCCAAGGCCAGCCCCGTGAAGGGCCCCTCTATGTTCCCCTCTGACGGAGCAGAGGGGACCCCTCCCCCAGCTCCTGCATTCTGTGTTCTGAACTGCTGGAGAGGAAGCAGAAGCCAAGGTTGGGAAAGTGACTCCTACATGGATGGACGCTGGGGTGCCCAGCGAGGGGTCCAGTGAGTGAGTGGGAGGGAGGACAGCCTGCAGGTCTAGGGGAGCTCAAAAGCAGGGCACAGCCTTACCGTGCAGAGATCTGGGGTTTCACTTCTGGCATGGCAGTCAGAGTGGCACTGGAGGCCCCAGAATTACTGCTGGGCACATGTGGGAGTGGCCCCCAGATGCTCCCGTGCCCCAAAGGGACAACAAAGCAGTCACCTGCTTGCTGTGTGACCCTGGCATGCTGCAGCACCTCTCTGAGCTTTTGTTCCTTCAGACATAGGAGTGGGGAATCAGGACAGCCTTTTTTTGTTTGTTTGTTTTTTGCTTTTTGGGTCATACTCAGCGATCCTCAAGGGTTACTCCTGGCTCTGTACTCAGGAATTACTCCTGGTGGTGCTGGGGCCGGGGGGAGGGGGACGGCCATATGGGATGCTGGGGATCGAACCCGGATTGACCGTGTGCAAAGCGAACGCCCTCCCTGCTGTACTATTGCTCCGGCCCGGAATCGGGACAGCCTTTAAGAGCTCTTCCTAAGAGCATCAGTGGGCCAGGTCTGAATGCGCAAGGAAAGGAGCTTGGAAGGACCGGGATCAGGTGCTGGTGTGAGGAGCAAGTGAGAGGAAGGCAGGGAAGGGGCATGGAGAAGGGGGGTTGGGGCATTGTACTGGAGGAGCACACAGAGACCTGGTTAGTAAGGCCTTCTCCTTCCTCTTCCTTCCTTCCT